ATACTAAAATTGTTACATTTAACAAATTAAGAATTTACAAGTTGGGTGATCAATATCAATCAATAAATCTTTTAAATATTTATTTTTTGCAAATTAGAACAATTTAAAGCATGAAATGTTGCTGTCAAGTGCAACCTACAAATGCAAGTATAATTTAATTGTCGAGCTCAACTAAATTTCAAAGCACTTTGAGGATTTTTGTTTTTGATAATCTTACGGTTTCGTAACTGAAAAATAGGACAGGCGAAGCCCTTGCTTAAAGAAACTGGAACGTCCCTAAATAGAGCTAGGATTCTCTTTACAGACCTTCATTCAGTCGTGTAGAACAATGGTCCACCAATAAAACTATTCTTTATTGGATGCTAAATGTTTTTTATTTCTTTTATATTTATCCATTTACATCGCCGTTTGCCGTTTGTATGAATTCCTTTTTATAGTCCTCTAAATCATTTTAACGGGTAATATTTTTAATGGGTGTTTTTGCATTGTATCGTTAAGCGCTTCAATAATCACATGATTTGTGGCGACAAAAAAAAAGTTGTATTAGAAAGTATTTAATTAATTGGAGACATCGTTGTCAATAATTTATTATGACAAAATTTCAGAACTCAAGTCATATGCAAAATACCTATTTTGACGGTTGTTTTATGATGTCATAGGCTACCTACATATTGTTATTTTGCTTTGATTCGAAGACACAAAAAAAAAAACAAAGATTCGAGAATATGGAAATTTTTAAATCATCCATTTTTTCTTACAAAACAAGTATATTTGCGAGCGGGAGATCAAAGGAAATTCTTGACGAGCTTCCAATATTTATATAGAATAGATTAATGTATAACTCCATCATAAATAGAAACTTTATCTTAGGATACAGACATTTTTGAATCTATATTGCCTAAAGAGAAATGAATGATTGAGGTAAAAATAAGAACTCAAGGGGGTCCCACAACCCAAACCTATCCCTACTGTTTCTCAACGAGATCACAGGTGCGCCCCGGATATTTATATCGAGCGACTTTTTTCTATAGCTTGACCAAAAAGGTGAAAAATGTTCAATTTAGAAAAAAACAAATTCGAATATTCAGTATATGATTCCATATTCTCCATTTATCGTCCATTTATTTTATAATTTATTACTTATCGAGTGATGGCCTTAACAACAACCGTCTTATGGAGCCTCAACCAATAGTAGAAAAAAAAACGATATTTATTGAAATACAAACGTCACAGGCAACTTGAGAATACAGCAAATATTAAAAGCATTGACTTATCGGGGACGTTTTTGTTCAATGCACGAAGGGCAGCTTGAAGAAACTAGAGTTCTTAAATAAAATGACACGTATGTCTACGGGATGGACGACCAACTTAAGATGACTAGATTAGCAGTTTTGTTTAAACTGGATTTGTAGGTCATATATCATTGGCATTGAGATCAATTAGCCAAAATTAATATCTGTGCGTGTTTTAACATTACGAATAAATAACTTAATAAATAATTAAATTAATCGTTGACACATTAAACGATTGGTCGTTAAAATAGCGGAATTATTATTGCTGTACTTTATTATTTTTGTCACGACAAATATTGATATGGTGATGAGTGATGATACTTTAATACTTCATATTTATTAGGGTAAACTTATAGACCGTCAGATAGTGACATATTTAGGTGCCCCAGTTTTGCATACAAGCCTCGAAGAGGGTTGAAAAGTACATCCATTTTGAGTAGGATGAAGGTATTTTTACGAGTGGCTCCTGGGGATAGCATATGGAAAATTCGATTTTCCGTAACAAAAAATGAAAGCCGGCCTGGTGCCCACATTTTATCACAAGCCGTGTTCATCAAAGGATTAATTAATTAAACCTGGCTTCGTGAAAACAAAGAAGGGGGTGTTGCAGGTGGCTAAAGGTTTGAAATAAGGGCGTAAGCTTGAAAAATCGAGATTTTGGGCGATTTTTCCACACAAGCCCATCGGAAGGATGAAAATCTACAACGTCGGTCGCAAGAAAACATATTGGCTTGAGTGTCGCAAATGGAAAATTACATTTTAGGGTAACATAGGTAAAATCGAATATTCCATATGTTATCCCCAGGAGCCACTCGTAAAAATACCTTCATCCTACTCAAGATCGATGAACTTTTCAACCCTCTTCTAGGCTTGTATGCGAAAATGGGGCACCTAAATATGTCACTATCTGACGGTCTATTAGAAACGTTTCAGTTAAGGATCGCAGAAATAAGCATAATGCCTTGCGACGGTTTACGGTTGGTGCTAGTCCGGTTGCGTTCTCAAGTTATACCGAGTGCATATAGATTATAATAGGCATGATGACAGATTTTGAAAAACTATCCAATAATGGTCGGAAATGGATAATATTTGCAATGAATATCATATTTCTACACATAATGAAAGTTTTGGTAGGAAAAATTGGCATTTTAGTTTTAAGATTTTAAATTCGCGCCAAAACGCTTGCCAGTGTCATGGCGTCAGTAGTGACATCACGTTTGAGTAAACAAAACGCAAACACTAGACGTTCCTTAGACGCTCATTGAATATTTGGATAATTTAGATATTTTGTGTTATAATATGAATTCCAAAGTGTACAAGTGGTGCGCAGTCCCTCAGTGTGTTAACACATCACTAAAAAGTCCTGAAAAGTTATTTGTGTTCGTCCCACAAAAGAAAACAATACGGGACAAATGGCTTAAACTTGCAAGGCGAGATTCAACTGCAATATTGCCTAGTACTTACCTCTATTTTTGTGAAGATCATTTCGACGTGAGTATTTTATTTAATTTGTGGATTCTACAAAATCTTAAATAGTTCTTTGTGGTCTAAATTTAATATAAAAAAATATTTTTTGAGGTTAGGTTTCACCTTGCAGTCCTTGCACCACTGTTATTATCAATGGATATTTTATTAAAATTTCAGATGCCAAATGATATGGCGAATTATATGGAATATCATTCGATGGGATCGGTGTCACAGATCCGCATGAAACCCGGCTGTTTGCCTACAAGATATCAATGTCAATCTGATAAAAGAAAAAGAACATCTGATGCTACAGAACTATCATATATTCTCAAAAAACAGAGGATTGAAGAATGTGAAAAAGATTTAGAAGAGAGAAATGCAGCAGTGGAACTTGGAGAGACTTCATCCAGCAATTCAGGTAAATAGGTGGTACATATTTACATGGAATGACATCAAATATCAATAGGTCTGTTTCTGCAGAAATCACAAACCAGTCAGAGTGAATTTCATTGGTTGAAACCATAGGTTGAAACCAGTTTTCCGACTTTTATCACCCAAGATTGCACCTAATCTAATATTCTCATTACACTATCTAGTTAATGTTATTTGGATTATGAAAAGATAATTTTGAATATTGTGTAAAACGAATTTTGGAATTGTGAATTTAATTTTGGAAGATGTAAATTGAAATTTGAAATATGTAGTTACCTACTTAGTTATTTTGATTTTGGAAAATATAATTTGCAAATGGTAAGAGTGGAATTTGAAAATTGGCAAATGAATTTGAGATAAGGTGAAATCGAGGGTGAAATGTAATTAGGAAAATTTTTGAAATCCCTTGAAATCCCCAAAAAAAGCACATTAAAATTTAATTTTCTACTTTATAGGTAGTCTCTTATGGTATAAATATTAAGATGTACTATTTTTTGTTCAGTAAGAACTTGATAGTGTACCTATTATGTTTTTCTTTTCTTTTTCAGTTTCACAAGCATACGTTGATCATATTCCTCGAGAAGAAGTACACAAGACAGCGCACAAATCTACTCAAGTACATATGACATATAAGTTCCGAAGTAAAGCCATCCAAACAGAAATAAATGTAGTAAACCAAATGACATCACCTTTGAAACCATTTTGCGAATCTGTTTCCACATCACCATTTAAAATTGAAAGTTGCATTACTGCTAAACCTTCAACGTCCACCTTACAGAGATCTGATAGTGATATTTCTTATACGCCATCTGTAAGTCATAAAGAATCATCAGAATCATCACAATCAACATTATCTCTACCAACTAAATCTACTTCGGACTGCAGCGAATTAATTGAAGAAAATAAAAAACAAGAAGCATCAAAAATTCTGGAGTATACGTTGCTTAAAATAGAGAAAAATCCACGTTCTTACATTGGAGTACCTAAGAGCTGTTACTTCATAATAGATTTGATTGAAAAAAGAACAAGAATTTCGAAAAATCATATTCTCATGTGTTTGAAAAAAATTAGATTGAATAACCCATTCAGAGAACTTGGTGATGATTTTTCCATGTCACCGACCTATGCTAGCAAAAAATTTATAAAAAATATACCATTAATAGCTAGTTTAATGCTACCTTTTATTGTGAAATTAGATAAAGATTCAATAAAACAACACTTACCTATGGCTTTTAGGCATAAATACCATAATGTGAGTTGCATCATAGACTGCTTAGAAATAGAGGTGCAAAAGCCTTCAAAAGCCATCAATCAATCTCTCTCGTGGTCAGAGTACAAAAAAGCTAACACTATCAAATATCTTATCTCCTGTACACCAAATGGTTTAGTGAATTACATTTCACCAGGCTATGGAGGAAGAATAACAGACACATGTTTGGTTGAATCATGTGATTTTATAAAATGTTTGCAACCAGGTATGTTTGTGATGGCTGACAGAGGATTCAAACATGTAGAACAATATTTACGAAAAGAAGGAGTGCAATTAGTACGGCCTCCAAGTGTAGCAACTGGGGCTAAGTTATCAAAAATCGAGGCAAGGCAAACAAAACAAATTGCAAGCCTGAGAATACATGTGGAGAGAGTGATCCGACGCCTGCGTGAATTTAATATGTTAAAGCCACATGCTTGTGTAAACCATAATTTAGTTAAAGTACTTGATGATGTCATCACCATTTCCTGCGGTTTAGTGAACTTACAAGATTCATTAATTAAATAAAACTGTTTTTTTTTTTAAATCTTGCATTTTATTTAATATTCACACAAAACGTATAGAGTGCTGTGATATAATAATGGATAAACATTACTTTTCCATGAAAAAACTATATCATTTAGAAAGTTCAATACATATTTTTCATCATATGAGACACTTATTATTTGTACATTTTTATTCGCACTGTAGTTGCAATCAGCTCCACAATAGTAGCCTCTTTTAAGTCCTGTTACATACATTTGTAGCTGCATCTGCACATAATACTTTTGGGTTGGTTTCCCGTTAGATACATAATTTTTTAAGGTTTTTTCACTCACAGGACATTTAATTTCTATAATACTGTTTTCACAGATCCCATCAGGTGATCCTGCTATCATGGGATAGTTTTCAGAAAGCATTAAACCACACTTATTAATTTTTTTTCCCAGTTTGGTACTCACAGTCTTCCTTACTTCCTCTTCTAAAATTCTACCACGTTTCATGGCCAGCGTGTCTGGAATTTTTCCACCCATTATTAACGAGATTAATGTTCCATCACTGGTTTTGCACCGACTGAACTCATATGCCCGTGAAGCGGTTATCCTGCCATATCTCAACTCGTGCCAGAGACTGCTTTTATGTTGACCCCTTGTCTCTTTTTCAATACTACTGATATCAGTATCAGTTAATACCATTTTCTCCAAAAATGTATCGCAGGATCTCTCTTTATATTTTAAAACTAATTTGTGCATAGACAAACTCTTTATTTGATCAAAAACAAAGTTGGCTTGATATTTTAGTACCTCACAGTTAGTTAGTTTTCTTCTCTTCCCTTCCTCTAAAAACTCCTCAAACACTGAAGTATTTGATGACAAGCTAGGCCTACCATTGGACAATTCTTTGGCTGTTATATATTTTAGGGTAGATCCGACCCTGGAAAGTTTGGATTTCATCCAACAACACTCAACAGACGTACAGGATGGCTCCTCACTCCTGCGATGGACCCACATCAGAAAAGCTATGGCGTGTTTGCAGCCTCCTAGCGAAGCCACACAATCATGACATTCTATTGATTTCACTGCCTCTTGCTGTTCGTCCACTATTAAAGTTACTCCATACAACTTTGCATGGACTTTATGTTCTGGGCAGATTTTGCCTTTCACTGTGCACAGATTTCCTTCGCGTTTAAGCTGTACGTAACTTACAGCGTCATCGCCATATGATGGTCTGGAGGACCTAAAATCAAGAAATTTATGTTTTAATAATAATATACGGTTCAATAATAAAATTAAACATTTCAATAACATAACCTCTAATATTAATCTGCTATGAATGAAATACATAAGTATAAGAAAAGATTTGAGAGGATTTGGATTTATGTTATTACTTTAATTATTATTATTTTCAAATATTATTGTATTAATAATGTACTTACATGGAAGTTTTCACATTTCTAAATTCTGCTGAACAAAAGTCCTTATTTGATGCTAAAAACTCTCCCAGCATCAACACGTCGATTTTAGGCAACACTGTTGCCCTTAATAAATCCTTGTTCCATGACTTTCGATTTGATATTGGGTATGATATAAACTTCGTATAAACAAAATTGAATCCCAAAATTCGCAAATAAAAACACAAAAAACACAGAGAACATAAGCAAGCAGAGAAACAGTCGTTTGTTTGCTTGTTTACTCACGAGTGACGTCATTCGTTTTGATTGGCGTTTAGGATATCATGGCGGACGTTCGTATTTTTTAGTTTTATTTTATCAAAATAGTTATCAATCTCGCTCTCAATTTAAAAAAAAATGAGTGTTTCGTATTCCCAGACTCAAGTTTCATTAAATAAACACATAATTTAGGTGATTTTTAATTACTGTCATCATGCCTATTATATCTATATGCAACTGACTAGCTGAGTAAGCAGTAAAGCTTCATATAGAGGAGTTCGATTTGGGAGTAGGGTATATTGTGTGAGCGAGTTCGGCGGTCACCCATCCAGCTTGCAACCCAGCTCCATATTGCTTGGCCGAAGATATAGCTCGTTTTTACCGCTCTACTGCGACCCAATAAGCCGGGTTTTATTTAAACTTAGAAACTGTTGGTATTTCTTCCTTCCGTCTGGTAGGTATGTCTTTCTCGATTCATTCATTCTAACAATAAGGTTTTTGCGTTCTTCCAATTTATCCGTATTTGCCTTGGGTACTGTGAACACTTTCTTTGGTATGCTGGTAATGCATTTCAAGATTTTGGAGGACGGTCTATTGTCTAATTTTTGGTCCAAGATAACCATCCCTTGCGAAGTTACTCACATCAGGGATGAAGATTTTTGCCGGTAGTGGTTACTAACACAGATCGCTTCCCTATACCTATGCTCTAACAACCTGAAATTTTATGTGTGATCTTTGTTTTGCAATTGTGTAGTCAATGATCGATTTTTGTTGTCTAGTATCATTATTCCACGTGTAAATATGTATTTCTTTGTGCTCAAAGTTTCCATTTAGAATTTTTAGGTTATTTTGTTGACATATTGCTATCAGTTTTTCTCGAATCTTATTCGTTATATTCTCTCTACATTTTCCTTCATGATTTGATCAGTGGATTGTTGTTCACTCCATTTATTCCCAAAATTGGTATTCCCCTTAAAAATATAGGTACATACATTTAGTTTTGGTATTGTTTCGTTCACTGCTTTCCATGATGTTATATGTTGTTTGCATTGAGTAATGTAATTATCAAGACTTTTTCCACTGCTCCAAATTCTTTTTGAACCTCGCTGAAGAAATCATAGTAATCTCCCAGATATTTTGAGTCCTATCCTTTCTTTTTGGCCTCTGTGGCGACAATCAGGTCCACTTTTTTTCGTTGCCTCGAAAAAGAACTCCGTTTTTCGATCATATACCGTGGATGTTGATTGGGTCGTTTAACAGTCTACAGTTTTCCGAGAAACGGAGAGTTAGTCCGATGCTTCAACTGTCCACCAGAAGGACTAGGTAATTTGTGACTGAGGTTGTCTTCCTCTAGCCTTTGATGAGCTAGTCCAGCTACAAGGCAACAGGTTCTTTGCTGATTTGCTACACAATTGATGTGAATTGGGATGATAACAGACGGTATGGCTAAAGCCAAGCGTGCCATAGCAGGAGATTTTAATTAATACCTATACTGTAGTATAACATACCCAGGTTCGTTCATTAAGATTGAACGGTGTGAATTTTTATTATATTTTCTTTTTAAACAAATCTTCTGAAAAACGGAATAAAAAACGAATAGGACCTACGTTGTGGAAACTTACTCAATTTTACTTACTTGACATGCGCCCGGCAAAATAAGGGAAATTTAAGGGAAGTTGTGACATGTAAAATAAACGAAAAATTTGTGGAACGTCCAATCTATCATTAGAAAATCGTACCGTTCTCGACCTGGAGCTCACGAGGATAGAGAGCACGGCAGACCCTTGATCTAACATTCCTGAAAAATCAAAACATACTGTGTCATTTCAATAAATATTGTGAGTCAATAAAAGTTTAAATTAGATACCGTTCTTTGTCCTTGAGCTAACATTTTAATTCCCCACACCAAATTCAATCAACACTACCTATATTCAATACAGAAGAGTTTTTGGTTAGTTAACCAGTTCCATCAGCAGGTACTGAGGTCCCTGGTTACTGGAGGCTACTCAGCTATATTATTTTGAGCCATTATCCCTGGATTGATTTTCCAATTTGTTTGCTAGGATATTCTTTCGTCAGGGTAGGAAATTGTTAGTAGATTCAACAAGGCTCTAATCCACGTTTTCAATACCAAAACTCAAAATCCCAGCACAAAAGACACATAATTTCTTAGGTTGATTAACTTTTTATCTGCGTTGTTTACAGCATGAAACGATTTTTGTTAAATACATGAACAATGCACATGTTATAAAAAAAAATGGTATAAACAAACAAAAGACATAAAAGTGAAAAAATAATACTTGTATAAATTGAACTCTCAAAAACAAAATGACATTTATTGAACTGACCTGTGAATGCTCCTTATGACACACAAACTAATCACAAATTGGATTGAACAATCAGTTTGATACAAAATAAAAATTGAATATTGAACAATGGCAGACAACCTTCTTCTCTAGTCCTTCATTTTCTATCTACCCTTCGCGCGGTACCTTTTTCATGTAGCGCGGCATCTTCGTTCGCCCCTACTTGACAGCGCATACATGGTTGCAACATTTACCATTTGTTTTTCTATAGTAAACGTTTTAAAAAGTTGAGATTCGAAGAAATAATATTTTAAATAGGTGGTTTTCCTCATTACGGTGTTGAGAAGCATTGAAATATGGGCCCCTGGCCTGACTATGCGAATTCTATTCATGCCAGTACCAGTTCCCATCGCAGTCTTTTGCACTCTTATGTCGTCCACAGATTCTACTGATTTGTCCTGGCCGCAACCACAAGGACAGAGCCTTATTAATTTTCTGGATCTAGAGTCTCCTACTGAATCCATGAAGTGTAGAAATTTATTTATTGAATGAAATCTCCGGGCATTTCAGGATATGCCCTTTGTTTACTCACAGGAATATTATGAAGAATGACGAGAGCCTTTTCCTGAAATTTCAGTCACAATGCTGTTGCTTTTTGTAGTTCATTCCATGCATCTTCCTAGCAGCGGCCTCAATTTCTCATTTTAACATAGACCAGCATGTTTCGCGGTGGAAAGTTGGTGGTGTGAGATGGTCGCATTCGAGAGGGCTTACCGACAAATCCATTCTGCTGCCGCTTCCGGTAATAGGTTCTTCGCGAATTTTATCCAGCAGTTTCTTCTCAAATTCTTAGCGGACCATCCCTATTGCTACTTCAACCATGCCTTTTTCGCATTTGACTAGTTCTTTTTATGCTTCGCTCAATTGTAGGCCTCCGCTACGCATCAGCCTTCAAACCTTGAGATCTCGCCACAAAAAGGCCCATTTCTGGGCCTAATGAGATAAATAACTATTTTTTTTAAAACCACTATCCAAAACTCATCCCTGCTGTCGTAAACATTTAATCGACACAATGGCATTTCCTAGACCACATTTCAAATTACAAGCTCAACCAACTGTTGTTAACTTTCTTTTTATAGTTTGAAATTTAGTAAATTGAAACAAATCGAAAATCCATGATCAGTAATTAAACATTTTCCTCTGTTTAGTGTTTTTCCCACAGAAATCTACATGCCCGATTCAATTTGAATTGAATCAATACAAAACCATTTTGCTGAAACCGGAACATATTGATACATTTTTTGAAAAGTTTCAGTTATTGTTAAGGACCAAGACAAAAGAAAAGATAAGAAAACAAGTTTTTAAGTTTAAAAACAACTTTTTCTCAAATATTAATGGCTCTGTTTTCATAACGGTAACCTAATTTTCTTTATGTTATTGTTACCAGTTGTTTCCGAGATGTTGTAGTCAAGCTACGAGAAGCAAGAAAATGACAAAAACTTTAAAGTTAAATTGAAGTTGAGGCATTTTATGCTTCCATAGAGACAAATAATTGTCAGCTCATTGTTTTTTGCATAAGTTGTAAGATTGCATGATAAAATTCAGCTATAGGTAAGGGTAGAGTATCGCAAAAGATCAAATTGATTGTACAAGAACGGAAATTCAATTTTAAATTATAGTATGTAATAAACTTTCAACAAGAAAAAAAAAAAAAGAAACATATATTTCGTTTAGCAAACTGCCAAAGACTGATGACAAATTTTTCGATTAAGAAAAGCACCTGTTTGCGCCGCTTATGAATTGAACTTTAAATCCTAACCATCAATGTCAATTCGACTTTTTCAATAGAGACAGTTAGCACCAGTCGGCAAAGAAGAGACATTGACATTGAATGATGAGCAGCATTTTTTTTTTTTTTATTTTGAATCTAGTTTGTAAGTTGTTTCTTTGTTAGACGATTGCTACGCAACTAAAAAATTATTATAATGATTATAAAAAAAAAATGTTTGATACAAATATGTACCTAACTCTCGTCTGATCCAATTTATGATGAAAATAAAGTGAAATGCTAAAAAAAAATCTTCACTAATAGGTTTTCTAACCCGCTTACACAACATTTGGCCTTCGAGCCGGATATTACCAGTTTTTGGACAACCTTTGAACCTTTGGATACTTTTTGTGAGTTTTTTTGATAATCTGCACCGAATCATGCGAGTTTGGAGCTTGGACGTGCAGAACAGAAGCCCGCGTAAGGTGTTTTTTAATTAACTTTGTTCATTTTAACGATTTTAGACTATTTTTATGAACATTTTATAAGAAATTATGAACAATTTGTGAACAAAACTAAAATATTGTTTGTCAATCAACAACATTGGATTGGATTTTTATATAAAACAAACAGCATAGTGCCTGCATTTTGGTTTTAACAGGAATTCAAAAACAAATAAGGTAGTGTGTTCCTTTTGGTACTTCCCAAAGCCGAAATTTGGTATTTTGACAATTTTAATCTGCATTTTTAACTATTTTTTTTACAAGCTTTACGCCACTATTCCATTTTTCACAATTTTAAACGATTGTACAAGCTACTAAGCTGTTTAACGATTTTATTTATTTTTACAAGCAACAAAGTTAGTATTTTGCCATTTTTAGAATTTTGACGTTACTAGACAACCAGAAAAAAAAAAATCCAACTTTTTGACAAGTTTATTTGAAGTTTTACGGATTTGACGACTATTTTTTCTAAAATTTAATACCTACTCATCTATTTTAAAAAATGGCTGATGAATTGAAACACGAAAAAAGGAAAAGAAAAATTTTAAAACAGGCTTTTACACGATTTGAAACGTACTTCAATGCATTGGATCTTACGAGCAATACGTTAAACTTAGAGGAGTTGCGCAGTGGGTTAATCAAGGCTGAGCCTGCATTGGATGAATACGAGGTTATACAGCAAACTATTGAACTGTTAGACGACGATTTTGATGTAAATTATGTCAGAATTTACGAGCCTGAACGGCAAGCTTTTGAAACACAATATTATCGAACAATCTCAGCTATTAAACAGTTTCTACAATCAAAATCGCATTTACCAGTAAATAATATGAATCCCAATGCTACTCAACTTGGCAACACTGTGCAATTCCCGGAGGATAACTTACCTTCATTGAATGTACCGACATTTGACGGGTCACTAGACCAATGGCTGAATTTTCGTGATACTTTTACTTCAATCATACACAGTAAAAATATATCTAATGTACGAAAATTTCATTATTTGCGCCTAGCATTAAAGGGCGACGCTGCTGACGTCATACAGTCACTACAATGTTCTGACAATAATTATAAGGTTGCCTGGTCCTTACTAGAGGAGAGGTACGAAAATAAACAGCTTTTGATTAATGTTCACATTAAATCGATTTTCAACTTGCCAGTTTTACAGAAAGAGTCATATGACGGTTTGCGACAACTACTGGATGGATTGCAGAAGCATTTAAGAGCTTTACAGATTCTTGGACGACCCACTGATCAATGGGACGATCTTTTGATTTATTTAATTACAAACAAATTTGACAGCAGCACACGCCGCGCATGGGAGGCAAGGGGAAATTTTACTAACATTCCTACACAAAAGGGTTTAATTGATTTTTTAAAAGAAAAATGTCGAACTTTACAATCTTTAAACGCAAATACAAAAGATATTTTTTCAACTCAAAAACCGTCCTAGAATTTTCCACCAAAGACCATGTTGCTGAGGTCAAATAATGTCCAATGTGTCATACTACAGGTCACACAATTTATACGTGTGGGTCTTTTTTAAAATTAAACCCCTTTGAGAAATTAAACAATGCAAGATGAATGCGTGTCTGTATAAACTGCTTAGGTGATAATCACGCGACAAAAGAATGTAGATCCCTGGGTGTCGTAAAGGCGGTTACACACGGACGTGGATGTCTAAAAACATGTACGCACATACATGAACGCTCAAACAAAAACATCAATGTGTATGCAAAATACCGTCGCGTTTTTGAATGTGCAATTTTGTATGCACACTCGGAATACTGTGGCAAGAATAGCAAGACTGCAGTGTTGTGCGAGCGTCTGTACAAAGGCGCCATGCACGTTGTTGTTTGCACGTTGATGTATGCACGTATATGTATTAAGCCATCCACGTCCGTGTGTAACCGCCTTAAGTGTTCTGGCATGCATCACACGTTTTTGCATTTTCAAAATTCAACATCAAACATACCTCATTCACCCAATCTTACAAACCATGCGGCATCTACAATAACAAAACAAGATGAAACAAGTTCTGATAATTCACAAGTCACTGAAAAAGATACACAAGCACACCATACACATACAAGTTTATTTACTAATTCTACTAACGAAAAATCAAGTTTATTGTCGACTGCCATTGTCAAAATATGTGATGTTCAAGGCAACCTACATGACTGTAGAGTTTTACTGGACAATGGAAGTCAAAGTAACTTTATAAGTCAACGACTTTGTGATATTTTACAACTTCCAAAAACAAAAACAAACATGTCAGTTTCTGGTATAGGACAGTCAAATCACAAAATTAATTGTAGTGTTTCTGTTAACATAAAGTCACGATTCAACAATTTTCAAGCCCAACTTCACTGCCTAGTGTTTCCAGGCATAACAGGAAACTTACCGTCATTTAGTTTTGACCCACAATTTTTGAACATACGTCAGAATATTTCACTTGCTGATCATGACTTTTTCCAGTCTACCACAATAAATTTGCTTATTGGTGCAGATCTATTTTGGGACTTGTTATGCATCGGCCAAATAAAAATTGGCAAAAATTGTCCTATTTTACAAAAAACCAAACTTGGTTGGATAATTTCTGGACCAATTTCAATACCTCAGAAACAACAAACTTGCTTAGGTACCATCTTGAGTAATGACTTTGAAAATCAAACCAACTGTTACTTATCGTCTATTGACATTGACAGACAGTTGATAAAATTTTGGAGTCTAGAAGAATATCCTAAAACTAAATACATCTCAGAAGACGATTTTTTTTGTGAAAAACATTTTAAAGATACTACTTTTCAAAACCCAGATGGCAGTTTTACCGTTTCAATGCCCCTTAAACAATCACTTTCCTGTCTGGGAGATTCAAAAACTAATGCCACAAATCAGTTTTTATCTTTGGAACGAAAGCTTGAGAAAAATCAAATAAAACAACAGTATCATAGTTTTATACAGGAATACATTGATTTGAATTATATGTCCCTTGCTGATTCGCAGGATAATTCTGGTTTTTTCTTGCCACATCATTCTGTTTTTAAAGAAACTTCAACAACGACTAAATTAAGAGTTGTATTCAACGGTAGTGCTCCTACCATGTCTGGAGTTTCAGTTAATGACTTAATGCTTACTGGCCCCACTATACAAGATTTTTTATTTGACATTTTGCTACGTTTTCGTATTCACAATGTGGTTTTGGGAGCAGATATTGCGAAAATGTACCGCTGTGTATATTTAAATGAAAGTC